TTTAAGACAAAAGTGATATAAGAACATTTATATTATATTCCAAATTATTTTATTATATTTATTAAGTGGGAAAAGAGAAGTGAAATGGTAGAAGTAACCTTTGAATTCCTTAGGGAAGGAATTTTAATGTCAAGGTGGTAGCGTTAAAACAATACATTAGTGTATATGAAGGTTAGGAATCGTAGCAGAAATAAATTACGGAATGATCATTTGCTTGGTAAAGTGATTCTTTAGAGAAAGGATTGTTGGAAAGCATTACTATCAATAGGAAACTAACCTGATTAATTTTAAGTGTGTAGAAGAAATGTAATGTGCACAGACTTTCATAACAACCTCTTTTACAGAGATTACACAGTTGGTGCTTACCCTTAGGTTATGGTGAGTTTTATCTTTGCTACCTTGAGGAACACACACAGTTTTTTGAAAGAGCTGGTTAGTGTTTGAGCAACCCAAGTCATTTTGAAAGGAATCATCCCCAACTGGTTTTATATTGCAGCACATGGTAATGAGCGGACTGGGGTGTGCGGGCTCCTCCCTGAGCTTTGGTACTGCTTACTCGAATGTGTCTGGAAGGAGGCCTTTATGTTAAGCAAGTGCTAGTGGTAGGAGCATAGTTACATCTTGGCTCCTGTTTTTAAATCCTTTAAATATTGTTCTTTAAATGAAAACATTAATCACATGCTAGTGATGTAGTAGATCATAACTTATGAACACTTGTGTTTTTGAAGAAAAAAGACTTAGCCCATTAACTGAAGTAAACAGGCTAGTTTAAGGAGCCTGGATTGTTGGTTTTTCTCCAGCTCTGACTCTCCACACAAATGAATGTCTCTAGAAATTAAGCTTCCTTGCCCACATTGGTCATTCATTCTCTTTCCCATGGGTAGTCACTAGGGATTTCTGTATTCGTGGTAATGATTTTCAAAAGATAAGGAACCTCGTATAGCATTACTTAGAAGTGTTCTTTTAAATAATGTGTGTCTAGAGTGTATAAAGGACTCTTAAAACTCAACAGTCAAAGAAACCAAACAATCCCCCTCCTGCCCCAAAATGAGCAAAAGACATGAAGAGACATTCCACTGAAGAAGATATACAAATGGAAAATAAGCATAGGAAAGGGTTTCAGTATCATTAGCCGTTAAGAAAATGCAAATTAAAACCACAATGAGATATTACTACATACCTACCAGAATTGTTAAAAGTAAAAAAAAGTAAAATAAAATAATGATAGCACCAAATGCTGGCAAGGATGCAGAGAAATTAGATCGTTAATACATTGCAGATAGGAATGTCAAATGATATAGCCCCACTGGAGAACAATATGGCATTTCTTAAAAATCTGAACTTGTAGCCACCATACGACCCAGCAGTTGCACTCCTGGGCATCTATCCCAGAGAAATGAAGACTTGTGTTCACATTTAAAAAAAAACTGTACACATATGTTTACAGTAGCTTTGTTCATAATAGACCCAAACTGGATACTGATGTCCCGGTGTCCTTCAGTTGAGTGAATGGTTAAACAAACTGCGCTATGTTATCCCGTATACTACTCAGCAGTAAAAAGGAATGCATTACTGATACACATAACCTGAATAAATCTCCAGAGGATTATGCTAAGGGGAAAAAGCCAGTCACAAAAGGTTACATATTGTGCGGTTCCATTTTTATAGCATCCTTGCAATGTCAAAATTATAGAAATGGTGAGCAGATTAGTGGTTTCCAGAGGCCAGTGAGAGGGTGCCGAGGTAGGAAGGAAGTCGTGTGGCTATGAAAGGGTATGGTGATGGACACATGCTCCGTCTTGACTGTGTGCACATCAGTACCCTGTTGTGATACTGTACTGTAGTCTTTCAAGGTGTGACTGTTGGGAGGAAATGGATAAAGAGGGTATACAGGATGTCTGTTATTTTTATAACTGCGTGCGAGCCTGCAAGTATCTCAAAAAGCTTACTAATGATAAAACAACAACAATAATAATAATGATAAATATGCTCTTATTATAAGTATGTGTATTTGGGGTGGTCTGCTTAATCAGAGAGGGTTGTCCTAGACTTAGCTTTTCTTTCACCCATGCGTCTGTGATAGGATTTACCACAGACGGAGTCACCCCTTTTAGGACATCTCTAAGAAGGTGAGGCACCCCGGGCAGTTACCATGCAGGCCACCTTCCTCTTCCATTCTGCAAATGAGTATCAGTGGAAGCCTTAGAGGAGAGGAGAAGGCATGTGCCACACAGGGAGGGAGTACAAACAGGAGAGGCGTTTAGTCCCCCGTCTCCTCCCCTAAGATCCTTGTGCCTTACTGGGGGTGGGATTCAAAGCAGGTTACGTGATCTTTGTGTGTCTGACTCACAGTTCTTCATGGTACCCCGTCCAGTCACCCAGCATGATGCGCTCTGCCTGTGGTCTGATAAATGTTGGATTCATCAAGCCCTGGTCATAGCTTTGTCTCTTACCGAACTGTGAAGTTCAGGAGCTCGTCAGAGGCAGCAGAACAGCTGTGTAATGAGTCATTTCTGCTGGTAGAGGTTGGAGACCGCAGTTCATTTGTGGCGCTGATTGTGTGCTGGTGCATTTTTATTAGAGATATAAATTGAATCATAATTTTTTGGGAATAATGTTTTTCTCCTGGAATTTTTTTGTGATGTTGCTTAGTTGAAACTCATCCTTTGTTCCTCTTTGTAGTGTTAAATTAAGATATCCTCAGAACATCCAAGAAAGTTTAGCAGTTAGAAGGCCTCTGCAAATCCCTCCCTTTCTCCAAAGGCATGGTTTAAGGTGATGAGCACCATGGAAATCAAGGCCATTCTTTTGCTGTGGGGGATTAAGCTCCTTCTGGATTGGGTGCAATAGTAGTTACTATTGTTATTAATATTATCATTCGTTGAGTGCCTTCTGCATACTACTGTGTTAGATCTTTTGTGTATATTATTTTATTTAAGCTTCTTGATAACCTTTCAAGGAAGGCATCACTGTCTCCCCATTTTCAGATGAGGAAACTAAGGCTTGAAAAGCCTTGTAACTTAGTCTCAAGAAAGGTGATACGTGGTTGGTAGCCTAGTGGAGCAGCTCTAGATTTAGGGTCAGACCCAGATTTAAGTTCAGCTTCTGCCTCTAAATTCAACTCAGCTATATGGCCTTGGATCCATTCCTTAACCTCTTTGAGGTCATAGCACCGTGCCTGGCACATAATAATTATAGTTTGACTAACTGCTTCTCAAGACTAGCAGCAAGACGTTAAATGAGAGAATAGAACCATCCCCAAACTTCCCTCCTATATCTACTTTATGTGAGAAGTAGAAAAATCTAAAATGAAATATCTGAAGATCAACCCAGCTATTCATTGCCAAAGCTGAGATAATGATCCAGCTCATAAGTTCAGATGAGATATATCTCATAAACATAATGCAGTTTGGTAAGGCTCAAGAGTTAGGGTTGGAGTCTCTAGTTGTGTGACCTTTAGCAAGTAATTTCATTAAATTGAGCCTCAGTTTTCTCATCTATAAAATGGGGTTAACAGTAGTAACTATCTCGAGGGTTATGATGAGAATTAAATGGGATATAATGCATATGATGATGATGCATTTAGCCCAGTGCTTGGCATATAGCACGTGCCAGAGAAGTGTTATTTGCTCTAATTTTTGTTAATTTCTTTAGAACAATGTACCAGGGTTGGTCTTCTGGGCATACTGCTTATAGTCAAGTTTATAATCAAAATGTATCTTACAATTTATTTACACATTCAATGTGGCATTTCATTGCTCTCTTTCCTTTTTCACTGAAAAGCTTTTGTAATCAGTAGGAGTCTTATAATGGGTGTTATCTTATGGAAAGCAGATTGTTCAGAGATGGAGCAGAATATAGGTTTCTTCTAGCTCCCAGGAACTTGTTCGTCCACACCTGGTGTTTCCCAGACATCAACCAGAGTATGTTGCCAAGTAGGAATCTAAGATCCACCATATTAGAAGGGTACCTCGTTCACTTACTAAAACGAAGGCAAAATTGAGAAGCTCAAGCCTTTTTGTCCCTGGTGTTAGCCTTGTAAAGGCTACATGTCTCCTGCCTTTATCATCGTACAAGAAGGAGGAGAACCACATTTGTTGCTTCCATTCAGAGCTGAATCATGAGACTTTAGATGGTAACTGCCTCTAGGATGGCTAATGATGCTGCTTAATTTTATTTAAGGCTTTTGCAAGAATGTTTGGATGACTTACCCTTTACTGTGCGATGGAATGATTAGAATAACTTTTATGTTGCATTGTGGTTTTCTCTTAAGTGTGTTCCTGTTGTGCACAGATGAATTTGTAATGCGGAATGTCAGCATAGTCTGTATTTAATTGTACCTGCTGTTCTCATTCATTAGAATGCAGTCCCCAAGAAATAGCTAGATAGATATATTAGTTGTTGTCTTTTCATAAGACAGTTAAACATAATGAGACGTTTGCTGAAGCACCCTGGCATAGTGCTAGGAAAGGTTACTAGGAGTGAAGACCTGCCAGTATGTCCTCTGGCTTCTCTTAAACTTGAGAGTGGATTTCTGGCATTCAAGCAAAACAGTGTCATTGCTTTATAGAGAGAGAAAGTTGAAGAGAAGTTTATTTCTGCTTCCATTATCATCCTGTAGTAAAGCCACATACCGTAATTTAAAACTGAACTCATGTTTCCTTAAGGATTGTACTGTGCCTGTTTCTAAAAGCATTCCGTGAGGCTTACACATGAAAGAATAGAGCAAATTAATTTCTTTAAGGAAGATTGATTTTTTTTTAATTGAAGTATAGTCAGTCTACAATGTTGTGTTAATTTCTGGTGTACAGCATAGTGATTCAGTTATACATACACACACACAATATATATATATATATATTTTCTTATTCATTATAGGCTATTACAAGGTATTGAATATAGTTCCCAGTACTATACAGTGGGACCTTGCTGTTTATCTATTTTATATATAGTAGTTAGTATCTGTAAATCCCAGACTCTCAGTTTATCCCTTCACCACCTGCTCTTCCCACTCATGGTAACCACAGGTTTGTTTTCTATGTCTGTGATTCTATTTCTGTTTTGTAAATAAATTCATATATCCCATTTTTTTTTAAGATTCCACATATAAGTGATATCATTTGGTATTTTTCTTTCTCTTTCTGGCTTCACTTAGTATGACAATTTCTAAATACTTTAAATATAAAACAAAACAGAGACCAAAAGGGAGCAGAAGTGAGAGAGAATCACCAGCACCTGATACAAGCAGATCACAGCAAAAAGGGGGTCCTCAGTTTGCATGGATTTTCTTTTTCTGATGGGAAAGCAGAGTCACATGTACGAAGTCATGGTTTTCTTTGGGACTAAACTTAAAGGAAATTGATGGGTAGGGCCCTGCTATGTAAAACACATTGGCTAACTCCAACTGTAGTTCTGTGAAAGAGGTTTCATTTATCGGTTTTGAACGACCCCCTCGGTACCCAGCCACTTCCTGAGCAAGGGTCACCTCCCACACTGACCCCTGATTGTGTTGGGGGCGGGGGCTGGGCAGTGGGCGGGGGAGCCTTTGTGAAGAGCTGCGGAAAGCACATGCTCTTCTGGGCCTTTATTAGCGAGCTTCAGCTTGAGGCTGTTTTTGTGGATCCTTTAATGGCTAATTGATGCAGCATGTGTAAAGATACAGTTTCCTGCATGAGGCGGTTATGGGTGGCAACAAGGGTTTGTCTCAACATGATACCAATTTCCACAGTCAATTTGGTCAATTCAGTGGGAAAAAAAAGAAGTCCAGCCTGAAAATCAGCCAGAGCAGTGACTGGAGATTATTGAGGCAACTACGATTGGTTGATAAAATTAACGTGTTTGAACCAATTGTTTTCACATTTTGTGTACATAGCCTTAGTCATTTGGGGGAATAATCTTAAATACACAGAAGTAACCTTTAAAAAATATTTATAATCACAGTTAGGCCTTCCAGAGCATGTCGGTTTTGAGAGGGAATAACCATTTTACAATTAATACGTGGTATATGATCAGTGTAATTAACTGATGCCTGGTATTTTGTTATAAATAGAGTGGAAAAGTAACCACAGGGCTCACTGAACACCTGAAAAACTGTGGAGAAGCTAATAAGAAGTTACATGGCTGTGTTTTGAGGCTGATTTTCTCAAACAGCTTTATTATGAAATTTGCGTATCACAAAGTTCATCCATTTTAAGTGTGCGATTCGGGCATTGTTAATAAGTTACAGAATTGTGTAACCGTCAGCATAATCCACTTGAGAACGTTTTCCATCACCCCAGAAAAGAATCCTAATGTCCATTTGCAGTCACCTCCTGCTCCCAGCCCCAGCCTCTGAGAATCACTAATCTGTTTCCTGAATTTATAGATTTGCCTCTTCTAGACATTTTACGTAAACAGATTAATACATTAGAAAGTCTTTTCTGTCTCATTCTTTCATTTAGCATAATCTTTTTGAGTTTTCTTCATTTAGTAGCATGGGTATGTGAGCAGTCCATTCCTTTTTTTAAGTATCTTTTTAAATTGATAATTGACATACAACATTACATTAGCTTCAGGTGTATGACATAATGATTCGATATTTGAATGTATTATGAAATGATTGCTACAGTGAGTCTAGTTAACATCTATCACCATACATTGTTACAAATTTTTTTTCTTTTGATAACTTTCATAATTAATTTTCTTGGCAACTTTAAAATATGCAGTACAGTATTATTAAATGTAGTTGCCATGCTGTACATTACATCCCTGAGACATACTTACTTGAAAAACAGAAGTCTGTACGTTAGACTCTTAGAGCCATTTTACCCCCGTGCCCCTCCTCTGGCAAACACCAATGTGTTCTTTGTACCTGTGGGCTTGTTTTTATTTTTGTTATTGTTGTGTTTAGATTCCACTTATCAGGGCAACCATGTGGTATTTATGTTTCTCTATCTGATTAGCACAGTGCCCTCAGGGTCCATCTGTGTTGTCTCAAATGACAAGATTTTACTGTATTTTATGGCCGAATAATACTTCATTGTAAATTTATGCCATATTTTCTTTATTTGTCAATGGACATTTATTTCCCTATTTGGCTATTATAAATCATGCTGCAATGAACATGTGTGTATATCTTTTGGAGTTCATAGTTTTTGTTTTTGGTTTTTTTGTTTGTTTGTTTTTGCATAAATGCCCAGAAGTGGACTTGCTGGATCTCATGGTAGTTCTATTTTTAATATTTTGAGGAATCTCCATACTGTTTTCCATAGCGGGTGTACCAATTTTCATTTCCATCAGCGGTGCACAAGTGTTCCCTTTTCTCCACATCCTTGCCAGCACTTGTTATTTCTTATCTTTTTGATAATAGCCATTTGATCAGGTGTGAAGTGATATATCACTGCGGTTTTAATTTACATTTCCCTGACGATGAGTGATGTGGAGCACCTTTTCATGTCCCTGTTGGCCATCTATATGTCTTATTGAGAAGAATGTCTCTTCAGTTCCTCTGCTCATTTTTAATCAGATTTTTTTAAACTGTTAAGTTGTTTGAGTTCTTTATATATTTTAGGTACTAACCCTTTATCAGATGGTCGATTTGCAAATATTTCCTCTCATTCAGTTGGTTGCCTTTTCATTTTGTTGATGGCTTCCTCTGCTGTGCAAAGCTTTTTAGTTTGATGTAGTCCCACTTGCTTATGTTTGCTTTTGTTGCTTTTGCTTTTGCTTTTGAGGTCGAATCAAAAACTTACTGCCAAGACCGATGTCAAGGAGCTTACCTCCTGTGTTTTCTTCTGGGGGTTTCATGGTTTCAGGTCTTATATGCAAATCTCTCATCCATTTTGAATGAGTTTTTGTGTGTGGTGTGAGATAATGGTCCAGTTTCATTTTTTTAAATGTGGCTGTCCAGTTTTCCCAACACCATTTATTTAAGAGACTGTCCTTTTTCCATTTTGTATCCTTGGCTTTTTTGTCATCAATTGATTGTGTGAATGTGGGTTTATTTCTGGGCTCTCTATTCTGTCCATTGATCTATGTGTCTGTTTTTATGCCCATATCATACCATTTTGATTACTATAGCTTTGTAATATAGTTTGAAATCAAGGCGTGTGAAGCCTCCAGCTTCATTCTTCTTTCTCAAGATTGCTTTGGCTATTCAGGGATCTTTTGTGGTTCCATACAAATTTTAGAATTGTTCTGTTTCTGTGAAAAGTGCCATTAGATTTTTGATAGGGATTGCATCGAATCTGTAATTTGCTTTGAGTAAGGTGGACATTTGAATAATATTAATTCTTCCAATCCATGAGTACCAATATCTTTAGTTTATTTGTATCTTCTTCAGTTTCTTTCATCATTGTCTTACATTGTTCAGTGTATAGGTCTTTTACCTCCTTAAATTTATTCCCTACATATTTTGTTCTTTTTGACACAATTGTAAATGGAATGGTTTTCCTTATTTCTCTCTCTGATAATTCATTATTAGTATATAGAAACACAACAAATTTCTGTATACTGATTTTGTATCCTGCAACTTTACTAGATTCATTTATTTGTTCTAACAGTTTTTTGGTGAGGTGTTTAGAAATATATATATATATTGATGACATCTGTGAATATGACATCTGCCTTTCCAATTTAGATGCCTTTTATTTCCTTTTCTTGCTTAATTGTTCTGACTGGGACTGCCAATACTGTGTTGAATGAAAGTGACAAAAGTGGGCATCCTTGTTTTGTTCCTTACCTTAGAAGAAAAGTGTTAGCTTTTCACCATTGAGTATGATGTTGGCTATGGGCTTATCATATATGGCCTTTATTATGTTGAGGTATGTGAGGTATGTTCCCTCTGTACCCACTTAGTTGAGAGTTTTTAATCAAAAAAGGATGTTGAATTTTGTCAGATGTTTTTGTCTGCTTCTATTAAGATGATTGTGTGATTTTTATCCTTTATTTTGTTAATGTTATGTATCATGTTGATTGATTTGCAGATATTGAACCATTCTTGCATCCTTGAAATAAATCCCACTTGATTATGGTGTATGATCCTTTTAATGTGCTATTGAGTTCAGTGTGCTAATATTTTGTTAAGAATTTTTGCATTTGTGTTCATCAGGGATATAGGCCTGTAATTTTCTTCTCCTGTGGTATTTTTGTCTGGTTTTGGTATCAGGGTAAGTCTGCCCTTGTAAAATGAGTTTGAAACTGTTCCCTTTTCTTCTGTCTTTTGGAAGAGTTTAAGAAGGATTGGTATTAATTTTTCTTTGAGTATTTGGTAGAATTCACTAGTGAATCCATCTGGTCCTGGTCTTCTGTTTTTAGGGAAGTTTTTAAATTGTTGATTTAATCTCCTTACTAGTAATTGGTCTCTTTAGAGTCTCCATATCTTCATGATTCAGCTTTGGAAGTTTGTATGGTTATAGGAGTTTATCCATTTCTTCTAGGTTGTCCAATTTGTTGGCATACAATTATTCATAGTGGTCTCTTATGATACTTTGTATTTCTGTGGTGTCAGCTGTAACACCTCCTCTTTCTTTTCTGATTTTAATTTATGAGCCCTCTCTCTTTTTTTCTTAATTTAAAGAAAATCTCAAATTAGGGAACATTAAAATATATTATTTTATATGTAATGCAACGGATTAGAGTTAATTTTGTTTTTTTATTAAAGGCTTATAGTTTATATTAGATGAAGCTGATTTCTTTTTAGTGGTATGAAAAGGACCTGTATGCAATTTCAAATTCTAAACACCTCATTTGTGTTTTCTTTTAGAAAATGTCTCAGTTAAAAATCAATGCCCTACTATTCATTTAAGCTCCTTTGCCTCCAATAAAACTAATTGATAAACCCTAATAATTAATGGCCTGATTAAACCAAAATGACTTACATCTGCCCTGATGATTGCCACCTCTAATCAGTCACTTTAATGACTCATCTTTTCTGCACTTTGCTTACAGAAGAAAGACTATGATGTTTTTAAGAGAGCTAAATGAAAAGCTGTGCGCTCTCAGTTGCTGTTTGCCATGACTTGAGAGTGTATTAAAATAAACATAGATGTAACTATCTCCTTAAAAGCAATCGTTCTTGCCTAATCGGTTGTGCTGTTGTTTATCGTTTGGAATGAAGCTGAAAAAAAAGCAAGAAAAAAAAAAACCCAAAAAATCTTTTTAGTATTCCTGGAGCTATTCTTGAGAATTATAGAATTTGCATGTTTTAAATGAAAACATGGAAGCGCTAAGTTCTGTGGCTATGTACTAGCAATATTGATACTTCCGATACAAGGTAGACAATTTTATTCAGATAAAGTGAAACAAATCAGAGAGCTGTCCTCATTCCAACATTTTAAAAGATTCCATTTGCTTCAGATCCTGTCGCATGAATTCAGAGTTAGCCTAACTAAATAAAGTCTTAATATTATCTATATCCTATTTATTTCAAAAAGGGATTTGAGGCAGCTTACAATGGGAGGTCAAAACAATGAGCAAAAGACAAAAAACAAGCATTTTAAAATAAAGAGGTATTTCCACGTCTGCTTAGGAAGGCATCAGTGCTAATGGCGCTTGGGCTTCGCTGAAAACAATGAGGAAGCTAGACATAATTTATGAAGCATCTGTTTTCAGATATTAGATAACAAGCAGTGCAGGACCGTCATCCTGGAGAGAAGGGAAACGGATGAGATGAGGCCTGTGATCACCCGTGCTTTCTGCCTGGAGACAGTTTCCGGTCTGCAGCACAGGGAAGGGGAACCCAGACAGAGCTCAGGGGTCTTATTGAGCTGAAGAGACAGAGTTTGGATATCAAGAAGGCCAGAATGGCTGGGATTGACAGGGCAGACTCCTAGGGAGGCAGGAACTGTGCAGAGAAAGAGCTCAAAAGCTTTTGTGGGCGTCTCCTTGAGGTTTTTTGACTGAGTGTCAACCTCTGCTCTTGTAGGGTGGAATCTTGCAAAGCTAGTCCAGGAATGAAAATTTGTGGGGATCTGTAAGCTAAACAATTCCTAAAGCTTACACAAAGTTGGGAATTTTTAAAATTCTAAACAGCCAGAGTAAAGAGACCATTTTGAATACATTGGAGCATTCAGGAGAGACTTTAAAGGGGTCATGCTTTAGTAGTGGGGCTAACCTAGCCCTAAAGGAGGGTTGCTCTGGGATTTCCTTAGAAACTCCAAAGTAATCCTCAGTATGATCTGGCTGTCTGCAAGTAAGTTAACTACCTTCTAGTATCAAGTTTAACACTGTTTAAAGAATTACAACAAATTTGCTCAACAATGTAAGTTCAGAATATCTGGCATCTAAATAAAAATCAATAAGTTGAAAATTTTTTTCTTATGATAATGGATGGAAGACCATAACCAGAACAGTCAGTCGATAGAAATGGGACTCTCCTTACTCCCACTTAGCAAACACGCACTTTAGAACAGTTATGGTAAATATACTCAAAGATTTTAAAGAAAACATGAGCATTATGAGGAAAGAGATGGAAGACATAGAAAAAGAACCATGTGGAACTCCCAGATATGAAAAATAAAATATCTGAAGTAAAAATTTCACCTGATGGAATTAGCAGTAGATTGGACACTGTGGAAGAAACTGTTTGTGATCTTAATATTAGCGATAAAGAAATTATCTAAAATTACTGCAAAGAAAAAAGAAACTTGAGAAATGAGCAGAGTCTCAGAGATCTTTGAAACATTATCAAGAAGTCTAGGATGTGTGTGTAAGTGGAGTCTCAGAAGCAAAGGAGAAAGAGAAGGGAACAGGAAGTAATTTGAAGGACTAATGCTCCCCGAAATTGCCAAGTTTGATGAAACCGATAAACCCAGAAATCTAAGAAGCCTAACAAACTAACCAGGATAAGCACAAACCATACCGAAGTACGTCAATATAAACACCTTGAAAGCCAGTGATGTTTTAAAACCTTAAAAATATTCAGAGTAAACATAATACACTAATAGAGGGGAACAGAAATAATAACGGAAGCTGTGCAAGCCAGAAGGTAGTGGGAAGGCATCATTAAAGTGCTGCAAAAAAAGAAAACCTGCTGAATCCAGAATTCCATGCCAGTAAATTTATTTTTCCAGAATAACGGTTAAATGGAGACTTCTTAAGGCAAAGAAAGCACTTTTTTCTTTAAATTTTTGAAAAGATTATTATTTAAAGCAAAAATAAGGACACTGTATTGTGGGGTTTATGACATATGTAGAGGAAAGATGTATAACAGTAGCACAAAGGACGAGAGGAAGAAGATGCAAACATACTGTTCTAAGGTTCTTACATTATAAATTAAATATCCTAATATTTGAAAGTAGAATATTGGAGGGGGAGGATATAGCTCAGTGGTCGAGTGCAGGCTTAGCATGCATGAGGTCCTGGGTTAATCCTCAGTGCGTCTGTTAAAAATAAATAAATGAATAAATAAATCAAATTACCTCCCCTCTCCCCACCAAGAAAAAAAAAGATAAAGTAGAAAGAAAATAAAGAAATCGTTAAAAAAAAAAAAAAGAAAGAAAGAAAGTAGACGGTGAGAAGTTAAACATATTGTAAACCCTAGAACAGCCATTAAAAAAAGAAAGAAAGAAACTTCAAATGGGCTGGCAAACTTTAGCCCGCGGGCCTAATTTGGCTCACAACTTCTTTTTGTAAACAAATACTGTTGGAACACAGCCATGCCAGTTCATTTACATATCGCCTAAGATTGCTTCTGTAGTACGATGGCAGAGCTCAGTAGTTGCAGGAAAACCATGTGGCCCTTCACCTGAAATATGGCCCTTTACAGAAAAAGTTTGCCAGCTTCGAATTTAGAAGCCAGTAGTAGAGATCAGTGGAATACTAAAAAGAGCACAGCTAATCTAAAAGAAGGCAATAAAAGAAGAAAAAAGGAGCAAACGTGGGACAAATCGTAAGATGGTGGAGTTGAACTCAGCTATATCAATAATTACATTAAATGTGAATGGTATAAATACTGAGATGAAAAGCGCAAATTGTCAGACTGGTTTAAAAACTAAGACCCAGCTGTGTACCATCTGCAGGATATCCACTTTAAATGTTAATGACAGGGAAATACCATCCAAACACTAATCATCAGACGGTTTAAAGCAAAAATTATAATACTATATTATGGGGTTTATAATGTATGTAGAAAAGGCAAAAGTCATCTCACATAACAGAAACCAGTCAGTGATTGCCAGAGATCAGGGTGGAGTTGACCTTAGAAGGGCACAGGGAACTTTTGGGGGTGATATAAATGTTTCATATCTTGATTATGATATGGTTACATGAGTGTATACTGTTGCTGCACTCGTTAAACTGTATATTCAAAATGACTGCAATAAAATTGGTTTTTTAATGAATAAACTTGATTTTAAAAAGTTAAACAATAGATGAACTTTGTCTTCAGATACCCTGAACTTGCCAGCAGTTAAATTAGAGGGAAATACAACAGGTTTTGTTGGTCTTTTCTAAGTGCTGGCCTGAAGACGAGGCTGTATTAGATTGGTTTCTGATTCAGTAGATCTGAGTTTAAACTCAAAAAGGTTTTGTTTTGTTTTGTTTTGTTTTGATGCACAGCCAGGCTTGGGAGTTATTTAGTTACATAACTTACTGTTCTTGTTATAGGAAGCTTGCCAATTTTTCAGGAAGAAAATCTCATTTAGAGGATACATAGCAAGCTTTATTGTCCTGAATTCTCGTTTGCACTGTTCTTGGTCAAAACATACACCAGCAGTTCCTCGGGCTGCACTCTTCTGAGGGGCCGAGATAGGTCTCACTCACACTTCTCCCCGCAGCATCTCTTGTCACATCTGGTCCACGGTAAGCTGTCAGTAAATACTTGTTGAACGAGTATTTCTGAATGCCATAGATTCTTCTCAGAATGAAAAATATCATCTACAAATAGATTTATTAATAGTGAAATATATTTATTCCATGCCATTAAGTGGGAAAAGATGCAGCTCCTTCTCAGCCCGGATTCATGCTTCCCCAGGTGAGCGTGTTTGCCCGTCTGTTCAGTCATTCACCGTTCTGTTCAACACGTACTGTTTCTTGTCCATACCGGGCACCATTCTAGACACAGGAGTGAACAAAACAGATCAAGTCTCTGCCTATTTGGAGCTTTCCTTCAAGAGAGGAGGACTGAGAGGGAGCGGATTTGCACATACAAATGGAGTGTGTCAGTGCTGCTAAGAACAGGGGAGAGAGAACAGGGGGCGTCTGGAGTGGGAAGATACTGTTGTTCGTGGTGGGTGGTTGAGGAAGGAAGGCTTCTCTTCGAAGAGAAACATTTGAGCAGAAACCCAAAAAGAAGTCAAGGAGCAGGCCATGCATGTATGTGGGAGCAGGGTTTTCCGGGGATATGGAATCACAGAGCAGGAGCCTGGCAGGGAGGCCAGCGAGACGGAGCGGAGTGGGCAGGGAGGGGACTCGGAAGGCTGAGCGCAGAGGTAGCAGGGGGCCGGCTCGAAGACGGCCTCAGCAACCTGGCAGAAGCGCTTCCTCATAAACCTTGAATTGGTTTTATCGTTCTACTTACTGGGTTTTGGAAATTCTTTTCTTTCAACAAGTCTTTTACCCAAACACAGCCTGGATTTACTGCAGTAGCTGCCGAAATCATTTCCTGAGCATAATGAAATATAACACTTCTTGTAGCTTGGTTTATTGCCAGTGGATAATGATCATACCTTATATTTATAGAGTGTTTGACAGTTTACAAGCTATTTGACATCAGTTATCTCATTTAATCCCCACAGTTCTTTAAGATTGATACAATGACTTTTATTATCTCCCGAATAATCTTTTCACAGAGGTGAAAGCTAAAATGCCCCATGCCTACTCCAAAGTCACACGCCAAATTTGTGGCAGGGCCCAAAAGACTAAAATCCAAGTCTCTGTCTCCTAGCCTGAATCCGCTGGTTTTGTTTAAAAGGATCTGTTATGTTCAAATGATGTTGCTGGTGGGGAGAACACTTAACGCTAGCAAATTAAGTGTATTATTGAGAAAGCCATCAACCGGTAGCAAGACCCTGTGCTCAAATAGGATACAGACAAAAATGTGTAAAGTGTATTCCTGTGCTGTGGACTTATGACTTGGTGGTACCTGTAACAGTAAATATGGTGAGTAATTACTAGTAAAAAATAAAAGTGCCACATGCTCAGCTCCAAGTGGCACAGACAGTAAATGCTTTAGCAGTTCAAAGAAAGCAGAGACTTTGATGGCCTGAGTAGTTAGGATAACCGGGAAGTGGGCTACTTGAGTTTGAAAGATGGGCAGAGTTCAGTCAAAAAATAATCGAAGAAGGGTTTCTAAACCCGAGGGGTTTGGTGAGGGGGGGGGACAGACAGCGTAAACAAAGGAAGGCTTAGTAATGGGGGGTTCAGGATTTGTTTCTTTCTTTTGAGACAATGACTGAAGCAGTCTAGTTGGAGTGCGAAGGTTGTTTTGAGGATGGCTGTGTGTCTGCTACTTTCACACGTTAAGTATTCCTGAAAACTAGACTGAAAGGTGAACGTGCAGAAGTCATGCAGTAGTAAAAGTACTTACATGTAAGTAAAAATAGATGTTGTTGGAGCACTGAAAATGCCATAAAGTTCTTATTTACACCTTGCCTTTTAGAACATAATATAGACATTTTGTTTTATTCTTTCTCTGTTGATCCATTTAAGTCAAATATGTATGTGATTAAAGCTAAAGATGTGTTAATTTTACTATACCTTGTAATTTCCAGGCAGCTCCATCTCCCAGGAGCTCAGAATATTTGTTCATTCACTGTCTCCATCTGATGTGGTGGCTTCAGAGTGGTTTAAGGGTGTCAATGTATAAAAGAGCAGATTGTCCCAAAGGAAAATATTCCAAGTTGAGAGCCTGTAATGAGAATTCGATTTGGAAAACAAGACCAGACTTTGTAGAGTAACATTTCTTTCAATTTGGCATACATCTGTGGCTGTCTGTGGCGTGAATTTTTGTGCGGACTACTGGAGCACATTCGAATGCACAGCCCTGTTGTTAAGGAGCTCCCATTTGGGTTGGCCGGGGAGGTCAGGGGATATTTTACTTCCTCCTCAAGGGATGATATAGTGGGAGTGGTATATTTAATATGATGGTGATATAAGAGTTGTATTAAAATTGGGGAAAACCAGAGGCAGAGAGACCATTTGGTAAAAGCCCTTACACCTGCCAACACATACTGACTTGTATACAAAGAGACAGCTCCCCCTAACGGAAGTACATACTGGGTCTTACCTGACAGGGTGTACTGCTCACCTGATCACGGAAGCAGAGCCATTAACGAAATAATGCATGTTCATGGTTTCCACTCATTCATTCTCATCCATTCAGCAAATACTTATTAAGCACTTAACTGTATGCCTGGCACTCTTCGCAGGCTGGGATGTTAGTAGTCAATAGAAAAGACAAAGCCCCTACTTTTGTGAAGTTTACATTCTAATGTCAGGCAGGCAGCACCAAATGAGCATACATATGAGAAAGTACCTGCCTGGCCTGTTGCCTGTCACATGGTAGGTAGGTTCAGTAATCGTTGGTTACTGAGTTTGAGCTTAAGTACCTACTCTTGGAAGATGCTTTCGGGGGTACCCTTTTGCAGGGTGGAGGGTTGGAGTGAAATTAACTCAGATTTTTTTGAGATGTTACATAAAAAATTACGAGTCTCTTTTTCAGTTTTGGGGCAATTAAGGTTATATGCCTTACTAAATATAGGAAATTGTCTTTTCCAGACCACTTTTGCCCTTGAAGGTGAAAGGCTGAAGCAGGAACTGTTCTGTACCATTAAAAGTGCTGTGCTCTTATCCTGCTGGACAGTTTTTGTAGGCTCCTTGAATTCCTGAAAAGACCCATTGTTGTCACTGACGATGCTGCACAGAAACCCTTTGTGCCATTATTTGGCAACTGACGCCTTGGCAAACGCTATTTCAGGTCTTTTGTTAACTCTAGCAACAGTCAAAAATGATGTGAGGGAAGAGAAGGGTAAACGAAACAAAGATTTGTAAGTACACGCATGCACACACACGCGCGCACACACCTCTTTTAGGTCAATTTCTGAGGATTATCTGAAGCAGCATTTACACATAAAACCAAGAAATCGCAGTACTGCACTCGTGTTCTCATTGTTTCTGTCATATATAACCTTTACCAGCAAACATTTGAATGATTTTTTTCCTTGCTGGCTTCCCTTTGGCCTTACTGCTTCTTAGGTGGGAGGAGCCGTTTCACATTGAGGGCAGGGCTAAGCCTTTCTGTACAGAATCTTTGCAAGAAGATTACATTTTCTTATCTCTTTTTCCTGAAAGCTGGAGTAGGATGATGGTTTTGTTTACTGTTGTTGGAAGCCAAGATTTTATGTGACTTTCATGTGAAATAAATAAACCCTTGCTTCTGCAGAAACCAGAAGTGGGTGGAAGCGAGGGAGTTAGGTCCTTACATTTTGCCTCCAGATAAAATGCTTTGCATTAACTTTGTGATTAGAATTCGGGCTGAACAGATGATGTCACTTCTAAGCAATATGGTATGATGAGCGTGTGTGCTTTTTCCAGGACAAGCACTGTAGATAACGGAATTAGTTGTGTGAACTTTTCTGGTCCTTTTGTAGATGTGAAGCCCTCCAATATGCTAGTAAACACCAGAGGACAAGTCAAGCTGTGTGATTTTGGAGTTAGCACTCAGGTAGGTCTCTTTTTCCTTCTGATTTTCTCTCTTCCCTGTAACATCCACTTTCCATCTTCAGTCTACTCTCTGGATTGAAAAAGCACCTAGCTGCCAGACAAACAGAACCCTGCATCTTCTCCTCGGCTGGGATTGTGTTACTCATTTTTAATCTCCGAGCGCGTTTCCTTCATCAAAATATGATTGTTCATTGTTTAATGACAGTAAAAACTGCTGATATTGTAATTACTACTTACGAATAGCAAACTTCATTGATATGCAGCTTTGATATGAAAGCGTTTTGGCCAGACAAAAGGGAGGGCAGAGTGGGAGCTGTGCCTGGGGAGCCCAACTGGCCCACAATAAGAATTAATATTGGGAGCAACAATGGTGGAGGGCCATTACAATGTGCAGCACAAATTTTAATTAATTTCCATTTTGGGCCTCCCCTGAGATCCCCAGTGATAGTGACCCATGAGCGTGCTGTGATGTTGATTTGAATTGCAGCCACCTTTACTCCCAGCCAAACACGAAGACCAAAGCGAAGGTCATCGTTGTATTATGAGTTGTCAAAGTCTGTTATCCCTCCAGCGTATTTAGTGTTCGTTTCATTCTGGTAATGCACGGGGTTTCATTCACATCCTGAACCATCTGACTCAAAAATAAGTGTGCTCAAATTCTACTTCAAATTGACTTTTTATGTCAGGCGGGTTTGGGGTACTAAAGCGATAAGCATCCTGCGTAAGTGAATTGTTTAAGGTTATCTGCTATAAACTGTAATGCTGTGCTGGTTTAAATCGGAAATCACATTCAAAAGAAAAGAGAGATTTAATCATTTTTAAATGCCTTTGTAGATGAATTTGTTCCCTTTACATAATTTTTAGTTGATTTATAGAAATGATGATTGTAGGTTAAATGAGGAATAATTGCCCATTTTATTTCCACATTATCTTTATATTGTTCTAACAGACTGTTTTGTCTCATAGCTGGTGAATTCTATAGCCAAGACGTATGTCGGAACAAATGCTTATATGGCGGTAAGTAAACTTATGCAAAAACAACATTTAAAACCAACGTCTTTATCTTTATGTACTTGGTAACGTATAATTCTTGAATTAATTCCACACTTTTAGCCTAACAGATCGTAAATTGCAGAGTCAACCCAGTCACAAGCCGATTGTTAAATCCTCCTAAAGGACGGTAGAGTCTGTACAGGAGCTGCCAACTTTTCTGACTTCATTGACTTAACCGGTTTGTTCAAGTATGAAATCACCAATTTCTGAAGTTTAATCTTACAGAAAAATTGCATCTTACAACATACTTTGCCACATCGCTTATTTAATTAACCCTAAAGTATACTAAAATGTCAGTCAGTAAGATCAGCAGTGTTTTCCAGGAATATAAACATGCTTTGACACCAGATCAAAATTAAATCATTAATTGAAAGTTAAATGATTACTTATGGATCTCTGAGTGTAAGGGTTTAGCAGACAGTTCTCTCTTGAACTTGTGTATCTGTATTCTGTTTCATGCCTATTGTAAGATAATTTACTTAGTCCCTCTGAAATAAGCTTCCCAGTATAAAAATAGAAGCATAGAACTGTTTCGATGACTGATGTGGACTTAGCTTTGACTTTTTTCTTTTTCCTACCTTTTGAGTAAGGGAAGTGATTTGTGTCCATAAAATTGCTTTTATTTACTCGTTTCCACAATCACTTCAAGAGTGGGGGGTTGCAGGAGGCAAGCAGGAAACTTACCTAGTATCATTTTGGGGGCAAAGTTTTGTTTTAACATCTTAAGTTTAGATCTTTTGATGAAAGAGCTCTAAATGTATTCAGGTAGTCCATTTCACTTCCAGTAGTCCTTATATGGAGTTAAATGAAGTGTGGCTGGAACCCGGGGTCTTAGTCTCAGAACAGTACCAAGCATTTTTTTAATTGAGATACCAGCATGGTTAATTTTTGCCTTGCATTGTTTTTAAAGAAAATTTATTCTTTCTCATTTTTCTAGGTAATGTGAAAAAATTAACTTCTGACGTCATCATACCTATTTTTATAAAACATAATCACCCTCTTGGCTCTACCAGGTTAGCTGGATCTGTGAGCCACCTTTATAATTTAAAAACCTTGCCAAATGCCATGATTTCAGTCTTTGAAAAAAAATATGGAATGCTTTG